GCAGGAAAACAATATCCTAAATCCTCCAGCACTCAGGGAACAAAATGGTAAATGCTAGCCAGAGAAGAGTGGATGCACTCTCTTCATTTTAAGCCAAGTTCCATGGCAGCAAATATTCAATTACCATAGGCTCTAAAGCTAAAGCTTGCCACTAATAAAAAGTCACAAACTTTCTAGAATTCATGAAACAGCAGAAAAGAACCATTTTTCAGCAGCAGATAAAGGGGATTTTAGGAAAAGTGATATGTAACAGCTAGGGAACTTCTGTATGAAATGGCTAGGGAGAGAGGAAAAAAGCATTTCACAAATTGAAAGGCAATTTTTTTTCTCCAGTCAGCAAACTCCTTCTTCACACTTTCCCTAAGAGCAAAATTAGCCTAATCGCTGTTCATACACATTCCCTAACTTAAGACTGAGGTAATGGCACCTTGGCAGAAACAGAGAATCCATGCAAATTCAGGTTTGCTGGACATCTGCAATGTAAAAGGCTGAGAGCAGGGCCAGCTTTATGAAGGAAACAGTGATACAAGCACCATTGCTGCATTTCATTAATCAGGTCCTTTTTCAGTGAAATAATCTGCAAGTTAACCAGAGACACTAAGGGGCTCTAAGCTCAGCTTACTGAGTGATGTTCCTATTACTACTTTAATAGGAGCAGGAAAGCCCAAATGCACACATTGAAAACCTCACTCCTGCCAGCTGAACTCTCTCAGCCTTAGATTAAAAAACAGTAATATAAAATAAAATTTCTGGCCACTTCATTAATGCCTTACGTTAAAAGATTTCCGGAAACCTAAATACAATACAAGCACGGAAATATTTTCCTTCTAATGCTATAAAGCAGTAAGACAGCCTGGAAATGCACAGCTTTTCCTGTATTCTGAATCATGCGCATTTACAAACCAAGTGATTATTCCCAGATTCTAGGACAATGAATCTTTCCGACCTTTGGTTTACATTTGCATGGCAATACCATTTAGACATGTCAATTTAACAAAACATGTCCAATCTTACATAGATTACTTTTTGCCTATCTTAAGCATATTTCAAAGCTAGAAAAACATAAGAAATATTTCCTAAACCAATTAGAGGCAGAGCACACAGCTGAAGCAGTTCTTCCACGAGATACTAACCACATAGAGACATTTCTTAACTCTAAATTTGCAAAAGTACGTATGTACTTCATTACAACACACAGTAATTGAGAATGAATGTTTCCCATTAAAAAAAACAAAGGAATCTACACAGTCATTTTCTAAAGTTCAGAGTGTACTCTTCAAACGTGTGCAGAACTAGGTCTCCAGATGTTGTAACTTCAGAGTCCAGCAAGATGCCATCTTGTAAGCACGACTGCTGACAGAGATAGTTAACAGCACTTATTTAGTAAAAGAAAGCCACCAAAGACAAGAAAATTGTTCCCAAATTCTTAACTCTCGTGGGTATACTGCTCCACTACTTCCTCCAGAGACCTTTCCAAGAACTCCTCTAAACTGACATACGCTCACTTAAGCCAGGCTTGTAGCAAGTTCTGATTTATAGTAAGCAGAAACAAGCACTGCTGCTGGTGGCAAGCTACTAAGTCCAACCTTCCTGCTTTATGCTGATTATTAGCTGCCTAAATAGCTCAATGCATCTATAATCATTTAAGGTAGAAGGCAAATTCCAACAATATCATGGACAATCTGCTACCTGTAGGAACTCTTGGGTGCTTGACAAGGTAAGAATATTCCCACTTTTAATTTAGCTCCATGCGGTCTTAGTACTATTTATTTGCCTATTCTAACTTAGAATTTAATAATCTATGCCACAGAATCACAGAATATCCTGAGTTGGAAAAGACTCGTGCCCTGACTCCACACAGGGCGACCTAGATATTAAACCATGTATCTAAGAGCACTGTCCAAATGCTTCTTGGACACCCGCAGGCTTGGGGCCATGACCACTTACCTGGGGAGCTTGTTCCACTGCTTGGCCACCTTCTCATTTGAGCTCGTACCGCAGAAGAACTGTGTGAGATTCTAGACAGAAATTGTTTGGAGTAGTATGCTGCTAGCCACAGTGTTAAGAAGGTTTCATACATCCAGGTTGCGAGAAAATACACAAAGAAACAACACACAAGCAGGGTTGCTTCATTTTTTTAATTCAGCAAGCATTTTCCCAAGTGATTTTTAGAAGTCATCAAAGGGCTAAGATTATTACATTCTGGCTGGGTTTTCTGTGGTCAGGGTTTTTTGCTAACAGGTTCTTTTCCCAGAAATAAAGACCATTGGTTTGCTAAGGTTTCCCAGTTTAGATAAATACAGTTGCTACTTTCACCCGCAATTAAATTGTACTTACAACAGTGTGTCTTACAGTTATTCTACAAAGGACAAGACTCCATCTGAAATTGTCCTACTCTCTGTCCCACACTAGGATTTCACTCTTTCAGTATTAGGGGTGCTTTCACCTGTTCAGCCACTTCTTTTCCCATCAGTGTTTCAACAATGGCCAACCCAAATTCAAAGCTGGTACCAGGGCCACGGCTGGTGAGGATGTTCCCATCTTTCTCCACGCGGCTCTCGGAGTAACAGTAGCGTGCTTGGGGAAAACACAACAGAAGTAGGGTCAGTCTCCAGCACAGTGCCCTTGGCTGCCACAGAGCACAGCCCTGTCTGCTGCCGAGCACTGCCTGCAGGCTTAGGGGCTCCCCGAGCCGGCAGCGTGTGTTCTGCAGAAGGCACCTCAGCCGCCGTTGTGGACCCAGCCTGCCTGAGGCTCTGTACCCCTGGCCCTCCGGAACCAAGCATCTCATCACTGTCTGCAGTCTCCAGGGAGCAGAAGGGCTCGCAGGAAGCTCTGTCAGCTTATTCACTTGGTATGGGAACACAACTCTGATTCTACAAGCTCATCAAGAAGTGCTCATTGTGCCTGTCAGTTCCAGTGAGGTTGCTTTTGGAAGTCAGACTTTTGTGTAGCTGTTCACAATTTCATTTTTCCCAAATCCATGCAGAGGAAACTGGGGGAACCCTCTCATTTCCTGCTCACCTTCAGACTCATTAATGTTCACAGAATAATCTTAACAGTTGCTTCACCATCACTTCCTTTAGGTATGAGAAAGAAGTGTGGACCCATCAGCTGCTACTACTCATGGGAGAGCAGGAAAGGTGCTGCCTGGGGTTTGCGGTTGGGACCACTGAAGTAAAGAACCAAAAGGGCAGGAGATGGCTCAGCCTCCAAAGGATAAGGGAAAAAATGCTCCTAGTACGACAACAGCAGCATATTTTTCCCAACTATGAGAATGTTAATACAGCCCTGTATCTTCAGGTTAACAGACTTAAAAATACAATTGCATCCAGGAAAGCCTTAAGAAAATTCAGAGATCCACAGAAAGATACAAAAGCTATTTTCCTTTCTTTAAATCAAGGGTTCAGCTAAAAAAAAAAAAAAAAATTCTGAGAAGGTTTAGAGAGAAACTTAGAAAAGTCATTACATACCTCCGTTCATCATTTTGTCTTTGGCCAAAGGATGTGTTGTGACTTTGCTTCCAAACCCTATCCCATGTGCCAGAAGGGCAGTAGGACCTGTAAAGACACAGAGTTGCACCAGTGAGGAACAGATTTTCTGCTACAAACACTTTCAGGCCCCTTCAGGCACTAGGCCCTCGAGGGACCAAAGCTTCCTGCAGACAGACTTTTTTTTTTAAAACCGATGCTAGCCCTATGTCTGAAGCAAAAAGCCTCAGAAAGAACACAGATGTGTCGTTTCTCCCATTCTATTACACAAAACACCCTGTGCAAAGAAACAGATGAAAAAAAAGAGAAGATTTAGAGAATCAGTTCATGCAGCTGTCCTACCAATGACTTTGAAAGAGTTGAGAACAATGGTCATTTCACTTACAGATAGCGTATTTTATTTAAAACTATTTGAAACTAAGTAACAAAAAGTTTGCATTTCAATCTGAATATTAACGAGGAACAATTACTTTATGACCTTTTTAAGCCTTGACTTTAGAGGCTTAGCAGATAAAATTTCACTGGAGCAAGTCTTTATATGTTGCAATGGTGTGCTGAGTAGTGTTTTAGTCAGATCATGGGCTAACTGATAAGTTTTTGTTTTTAACAGTCTTTCTCTTTTCATACTTCCTCCTCGGCATAAATTGAGGAAGGAGTTTGTGTCAAGAAGTTTTAGGTCATACGACAGAAAATCCTTACGGGAATTCCAAAAGAAATTGAAAGCAGGATTTCCCTAACGTCAGTTTCTTTTTTGTACATTTGATTCATTTCAGATATGGTCCAGGAAATAACCTTCTCTGTGTTCAGTTGAATCAGCTCTGAGAATCATGATCCCTAAATAAATGAACAATATATTAACAACAAAAGGACAACTAAAGAGAATCTTCATCCTTTACTGGATATGGAGGAAACATAGTGACCAGGGATGAGGAAAAGGCTGAGATACTTAATGCCTCCTTTGCCTCAGTCTTCAGTAGTAAAACCAGTAGTATTCTGGGTACCCAGCCTCCTGAATGGGAAGATAGGGATGGGGAGCACAATGAAGCCCCCATAATCCAAGAGGAGATGGTTAGCAACCTGCTATACCATTTTAATATACACAAGTCTATGGGGCCAGATGGCACCTACCCAAGAGTACCACAGGAATCCGTGGAAGTGCTCACCAAGCCACTCTCCATCATCTATCAGCAGTCCTGGCTAACCGGAGAGGTCCCAGTTGACAAGAGGTTAGCAAATGTGATGCCAAGAAGGGCCAGACAGAGAATCCTGGGAACTACAGACCTGTCAGTCCAGCCTTGGTGCCGGGGAAGGTTATGGAGCAGATCATCCTGAGTGCCATCATGCAGCACATGAAGGACAACCAGGTGATCAGGCCCAGTTAGCACATCTTCATGAAGGGCAGGTCCTGCTCAACCAGCCTGATCGTCTATGGCAAGGTGACCCAGTTAGTGGATGAGGGAAAGGCTGTGGACATTGTCTACCCAGACTTTAGTAAGGCCTTTGACACCGTTTCCTGCAGTATTCTTGTGCAGAAGTTGGCTGCCTATGGCTTGGACAGGCATACACTTTGCTGGGTAAAACACTGGCTGGATGGATGGGCCCAAAGAGTGGTGGTGAATGGAGTTAATTCTAACCGGTGGCTGGTCAGGAGCGGTGTTCCCCAGTGCTCAGCACTGGGGCTAGTTCTCTTTAATCTCTTTATCAGTGACCTAAATGAAGGGATTGAGCACACCCTCAGTAAGTTTGTGGACAACACAGGCTCTACAGAGGGACCTGGAGAGGCTAGATCAATGGGCTAAAGCCAACTGTACGAGGTTCAACAAGACCAAGTCCTGCACCTGGGTCACAATAACCCCATGCAACGCTACAGACTTGGGGAAAAGGGGCTGTAAAGCTGCCTGATGGAGAAGGACCTGCGGGTGTTGATAGACAGCCGACTGAACATGAGCCAGCAGCGTGCCCAGGTGGCCACAGGAATTGGTCATCCCCCTGTACTTGGCACAGGGGAGGCTGTGAATCCCATGTTCAGTTTTGGACTCTTCACTACAAGAAAGACATTGAGATGCTGGAATGTGTCCAGAGAAGGGCAATGAAACTGGAGAACAAGTTTGATGAGGAGCAGCTGAGGGAACTCAAGCTGCTTAGTCTACAGAAAAGGAGGCTGAGGGGAGACCGTATTGCTCTCCACAACTACCTGAAAGGAGGTTTTGAAGAAGTAGAGGTCAGTCTCTTCTCCCTAGCAGCTAGCGATAGGACAAGAGGAAATGGCCTCAAGTTGCACTGGGAGAGATTTAGGTTGGATATTAGAAGAATTTCTTCACTTAAAGGATTGTCAGGCATTGGAACAGGCTGCCCAGGGGGCAGCTGAGTCACCATCCCTGGAGGCATTTAAAAGATAAGTAAATGCCATGCTTAAGGGCAGTTTAGCCACTGACTTGGTAGGGCTCGGTCAACGGTTGGACTTGAAGATCTTAAAGGTCTTTTCCAACCAAAACTATTCCAAGATTCTATGAAATATCCTGATTACAAGCAATGGCCTTTATTGGGCAACCATGAGTTTGTGATTGTTCTGCAAAAGATACAGATAGAGAAGTAGAAGACTACCACTGCCAAGTTCAAGAATGTTCACAACTCTGTAGATGTATCACTCAGCTGAAGAATGAAAGCAAAAAAACCCTCAGCAATGTATACTAAACAACAAAAGTGAAAACACACCCTAAACCCGCAGTCTGTTAGACTGTCTTTTACACACTCTTTGCTACTCTCCTTGTTCTCGCTACAGGTAGGCCAGCCTCTCAGTTCAGTTGGGAGTATTGGCATCTTGCCTCTTTACACACCAATCCTGCAAAGGAACGGACTGGATACCTAGCTGTGCAGAATACATAAGCAGGCAATCCTTCCCTCAGAGTAATTCCATCTTTTGCTACCACTCAGATAAGGAAGGGTGAGCCTGTAATTCTATACTTACAGTCTTCCTTTCAAAGCTAAAGTGCAGGAGAGGAGGTGTAAGATAAATTTATAGCAATGACATTTTGCCAGCCCTGTATCCTTGCAGAAAGATCATAAGAAGAAGCAAATATTTTGTAAAAAAATTCTAGCACATTACCTTTCACTTTTTATGTTAAAGACAGCAAACACAACTGATTGGAAAGAACTGAGTACCAAGCAGAACTTGCAGGACGAGTCTTCGCAATATTTCAGAGGTTCCTCTGCTATTAAATTTACCAAAAAAATCAAATGCTGAAGGGTGCATGTATAATACAAATCCCTGGTACTAAATTACGAGAAATACAGATTTCTAAGACAGGAAACTGCCTGTATGCCCCTTCAAAATATCAAAATGCTTTACAAAGCAAGATGCCTCGTTAACCCACCTGCACATATAGCAGCAATCAGGCCTTTTCTGCTTTCCTGGTCCTTCAAAATGTCTTTCACAGCAGGAGACTGTATGAAGAAACCATATCATAGGTCATTGTTTGGGATTGATTATTTGAAGCATGGCTGAAATATTTTCCACTGCAAATTCATAAACAAAGAAAACCAACTGACAACTCTCCATCCTGCCTCAGGACAGAGGGCAACGAAAATACATGGAGAAAACCTGAAACCAATAAATACCTGTCCCACGAGGAAAGAGCAAGGAAATCAAAAGGAGCTGCAAGGGAGTAATTGGCCTGCATAAAAGCTCGTTAATCCATGACCATAGGAAGTTGTTGTTCAAAAACTTTACAAGACAAATAGGAAAGAGCATTCATGAGATACCTCCAGACAGTCTTTATCATTTTTAAGAAGATTTATATGGGATATCTGTCTCATATTTCAGGGCTTGCAAACTGTGTGATATCATCTAAATCCTACTTGATAGCCTGACCTGTTTGCCCACCGGCCTTCCAAAAGGTACTTATACCACCATTACAACAGTTTTGCACCAGAGACAGAAATCTTGAGCAAAGGAAGAGTCCTGTGGGTTTAGCCTGTTTTATATTTCACAGAATTAAATCTTCATTTGCAACTGCTTCATCTTCATATGATCATGAACAGAGATTTTCTCACAATACAGAGCACCCTCCCATTTTTATTCTGCTTAACTAGGTATTCAAGGCCAGCTATCCCACCTATATATTCACAAGAAGGGTTAAGACAACTGACAATGTTCATTGATTCATTCAGAAGAGAACTTTCAGATGCTGAACTGAATTTGCAACATTATTAAACAAGTGTAGACCACCCACTACTCATGAATACGCTCGTGAATCTTTAAGATACCAGAACTTTACCTCTGACAAGTTTTGAGCTCCAAGGTTACCCCCAGGCAGGACTATGACATCGTAAGGGCCCTAAATAAACAAAATATAAAATTGTTCTGTTGAACAGAGGCTGATACATACATTACACTGTTTTAAGGCCACTACAGCTGAGCCAATTGAGAAGCAAAGGGATCTACCTTCACTTCCACTGAACAACACTTTACAATCAGAGAATTAGCTCCAGTTATGGAAGAAAACACTGTTTCCTGTTGCAGGAAGAACCTATTATCAAGTCTGTCACAGAACTAATTTTTAAGCCTACTGCATTTAAGAGCTTCAGCAAGCAAACGGCAGCTCCTGCATTGCAAGGACAAGTGTTTTTGTTTCAGCCTTACTGTGCAGGTCTAACCACAGAATTGTTTAGCTTCCCATCAGAACTTTTCAGTTGTTCCAAACTTCGTTATTTTGCTGTGCTGACTAAAATGCAAAATAAAGCTCTACGTTTGATGCTTTCCAAAATTAAAACATCTGTCTGATCCTAGCATGCTATGAAGCAGGACAACACTGAAGCGGAGTCCTGTGGGATGTGCAGTTCTGTGATTCACTACTGCATAGAGCTAACATAACAGACAACATATTTCTAAAGGTAATGCATTCCAAATTCATCCCTGAAACTGTGAGAAAGGCTATATTGCTCATTAGATCAGAGTGATGACCAACCTCTTTTCTGGCATCTTCAAGACTGGCATCAGGACAAATGAAAACATCTCGACTGCACTGCACTGGTTCTTTTCCTGTTAGGCCTGCAACAGTCACCTTGATCTAACAGAAAAATACATGTATTGTTACAATTCAAGAATTTAGAGCACTTTTCTTGTACGTTAGTTAAGTAGTACACAGAACGAGCAACGCACTACTGAAAGATGTCAAGAACATAGCAAGCTTCCCTAAACCATGCTTAAGTCCAAATGCACAAGGTAACCAGTGATACTCTCCTGAAAATTAATAAATACTTCTAATAGTTCAACTTTTCACACAGGACATTTAGAGAATATATGATGCCACAGGCTTTAAATGAAGCAAAACAATACAACCTGGGAGAGCCAAACTAAGAAGATTCGATAATGAATTAAAGTCTTTCTGTAGGCTTAAGCCATTCTCACACAAACACTTAGGGCATGTTCAATTTTCTCCCTTGACTTTTAGATGTCTGGTCATAATAACAGAGATGTGCACTGCACAGCTCATGTTCACTAAGTAAGCAGAAAAGCCTGTGTTTCTTAGGGTGGCCAAAATGGGGAGTAGGTTGATGCAATAACAAAGGTAGTGGGAGAAAGCAATTTGTATCCCAGTCATTTCTATATATGTAAAGTTGGTGTATTTATTTGAAATCTTATTTTCACACCTAGCAGATGATAACACCGTGCACCACTACAGCTGAAAAAATAACAAACAACATGAGAAATCCCACCAGACAGAATTCTAATTAATAACAAAATTTTACAAGTAGCTCAAGTAATGTACTGAGCTGTCCAGGGGTGTTCACAAAAAGCGTTTCCTGTTACTATGCAGAGAAGTATCGATCTTTTCTGACAGGGTAAGATTCCCTTGAAACTTCTGCTCTAGTCCACATTAGGCTCTCTTTTTGAAAGGTTATTTTTCTGCACAATGTTAGTTGTCACACATGCTTATTTGGGGCACAACACGAATATTTATTAACCAGTAAGAAGATACAGGTAAATTGTCACCTCATACAAAAGACTGTCTTGGACTCCTAGCAATGAACATCAAGTTGAGGCAAAGAATTTCCCTTGACCACGCATTTTCTGCATACTCACCCCAGCTCTTCTCATAACATCAGTGGGGATTACAGTTTCCATCTCCTCTGCCCCTTTTGCTAGAATCACCAACGCTCTTTTTGAGGCCATATCTTGAGAGGCTGCTATTAGGTGAGATGGTTGTGAAAGCAGGGCTGAGAGGGGTAGAAAGAGACCATGTGGTTAGACTGCAAATCCCTAGTCCAAATCCTTCCTAACAGTGAAGTTTAACAGTGAGCGATTTTCATTTTTGCATGGTCTTTCATTTAAGCCACCTCAAAATTGTTCACTGGCTTTAATTAATATTCATAGCAATTGCATATAACTAAACAGATTTTTACAAAGAACACATTACGATGCCAAAGGATTAAGCCATTTTTGCAGTGGGCAGCACAGCACATCAGCACCAGAACGGGAAGAAGCTTGGCCTAATCGAGACTTCACATGACTTGAGTTTGCCAGAGAGAGGGGTTCAAGGCGGGTGGCCGTGTTGTTTTCAACTCGCACAGCCTCACTCATCCCCAGACTACTGACTCCCACCCAGGTCAGCATTTACAGAAAAGGCTTGCATGAGCTTTGACCTCATGTCTGGCATTTAGCTTCCACACAGCACGCTTCGTGAAGTTTCCTGTGACTTATAATGACTCTACCAGTGCCCCTGCAAAACCTCAGCACTAGATATGGGTATTTTACAGTCTTGTGGGGGAGAAACGTGTGTGCACAAGTGTGATGGGGGAGCAGACCACAGAATTTAGCAAATGGAACAAACTAGGCTTAAGACTTTTTTGCTGGCTTCTAAATTCAAGCTGAGGTGAGTGGCCAAATTTCCATTTGAAGGTTAACTTAAAATAACTTGAACTACATCATGTAAAATATACACTAACTCATGGTGGTCTGACAGAAGTCTGTGAAAGCATCGATGGTGTGAGAAGACATTCACAGGTCATCCACTTCATGAGACAGGGATTTCTTTCCTGCATAGGGACCTTCCACCCAGAAATGCATGTAACACCTCGGAACCCTTCATAAAACTAGATTCGTGTTTAGATGTCAAAAAATCAAAACCATGTCCTCATTCTGCTTCAACTTAATATTCTTTCAGGTTCACTCCCTATTGTTGTTTCATTTAGAAAGAGGCTATTTCTAAAATGCAGTAATTGAGAGCAAAACCTCCTGCAGCAGGCAGAGCCAGCCCAAGCAGTCTAATTCAGTGCGTCAAATCCTTCTCTAGGGTAGCTTTATGTACTGTCAATGCAAGGCCAGATGAACAAGTGCACTCAAAGCACAGGTACTAGCAGTAACTCCAGGACAACGTGAAGCTCCTTAATAATTCATCTTGAAGACATATGTGGACTCTGCAAAATCAATTTTCATATGAATTTGACTAACAATGGCCTACCTCAATAGCCACAACACTGAACCCCTGCATTTGCTTCTTACTGCAGAAAAGTACTCCAGATCACAGTTTGTATCCCTCTCTCATTACCTCTTGAGATGAAAACAAGCACCTGATGTTGAAAGCTTTTATCTTTCCCCTAATCTAGCAAAATGCAATTCCTCCCTACTGTCCTTAGGTATTTATCGTAATACACTGACAAATTCTTAAGCACTAGTGCTGTTCTTTCTGTGGGTGCATATGCTGTCTTCCGAGAAGAGTCAAGTTGCAGAGACCTAAGAGCCACTTCATTCTACCAGCTATGTCCGCGCAGTAAGCACAAGCCCTCCATTTGCTGCTCGGTGCCAGCACACGGACAGGCTGCCCGGACTCTCCGGCGGGGACGCGCACATTTCCGCGGACAGCGAGTTCCGGCAGATTGCTAAATCAGAAACTATACTAAAGGCTGGCTGAAAAACCAGACCACCTGCTCCACTGCCCCGA